ATGGTTCAAACAAGACTCGAATGGGCCAATTACCGTAAAGATAATACATAATGAGCATGCCACATCAAAGCCAGGCAGGCCTGCCTCATGCAGCCTCCCCTCATGCACACAGGGGTCTCTTGCACACACAGCCCTACTAATGTCCAGCTGCAAGACACTTGCTATAACTCCCAAGTCAATTGCAATAGCACAGCGCAGGACTACATGTACAATGTGCAAGTTCAGCAGAGCATCACTCATCCGCATGCTTGTCTCCGCTCGTTATTCACACCCCTGGACTCCATACCTATCAGCTCCCCTAGACAGTCACAGTTAACTCTTCCCTCACCTCAGATCCCAGTCTGTCATCACTCTCTGCCACCCGCCTGTCCATCTGCGTATAGCATTGCTTTGAACCTGGCCCCCTTCTGGCAGCCCCAGAAATATTAACTCAGTCAGGGCAGTCAGCTGCTGCAGCCCATCATCCGTGACTGCCGTGCCACCCAGCCGAAGTTCTTCAAGACCTGTCAGCCTCCCCACATGCACCATGCCAGCATCTGTCACACAATTGCATTTGGAAAGGTCCAGCTGTCTAAGAGAAAATAGAGCAGTCAGCTGCTGCAGCCCATCATCTGTGACTGCCGTCTCATCCAGCCAAAGTTCTTCAAGACTTTCAAGTCTTCCCACATGCATTAAGCCAGCACTCGTCACGCCCTTGCACTTGGAAAGGATTAACCCTTCAAGAGAGGATAGAGTGGTCAGTTGCTGCAGCCCATCATAGGAAACTTCAGTCTCATCTACGTGAAGCTCTTCCAGCCCTGTCAGCCTCCCCACATGCACCATGCCAGCACTCGTAACATTCCTGCATTTGGAAATGCGTAACATCTTGAGAGAAGTGAGACCTGTCAAGTGCTGCAGCCCATCATCTGTGACTGTCGCCTCATCCAGCCAAAGATCCCTCAGCTATGACAGCCTCCCTACGTGCACCATGCCAGCAGCAGTCACAACCTTGCATGTGGAAAGGCTCAGCTCCTTGAGAGATGAGAGACCAGTCAAGTGCAGCAGCCTAGCATCGGCCACGTTGGTATGATCAACATACAGTGTTTTGAGACTGGTCAAGGACCCAATGCCTTCCAGGGCACGGTCTGAGACGTCGGTTGATTTGAGGTCTAAATGCTCCAACTTTGGCAGCCTGTAGAGGTGCTTGATGCCCTCTGCACTGAAGCTTGAGCTAGATTGCAAGTTGATGCACTTTAAATGCGTCATTGTGGACACATGGGAGAGGATGGCGTCTGAGAGGCTGCAGAGATTTGTCAGGTCCAGATTGGAACTCTGTGATGCTGCCTTGATTGCCTGGAGGAAATGGGTGGAGAGGGAAAGCACGACAAAGAAATAGATGACCACAGTAGTAAGAAGGAACAAGCAAGCAATGCATGCCGCCACCTGTGAAAAAGTTCACTCGTCACTCACCAGCCATGCAGATTTTTGATCGCCTTCACTCTGGCAAAGTTCCAGCTCAACATTCAGCTTCAAAACTTGCATCCTCTGCTTATCCTCACAGGCTGCCAAATTCTGCACCTCCGCCGTCTCCTCTTCCCGTGAAAACCCCGACATCATATCCTGCGTTCTCTTTCTACTCTTCCCTCCCACCCCCCGTACATCCAATGGCCTGTTACTCTCAGCCCATTGCTCCTTGTGTTTTGCCAACTCCTCCTTAACCATAGCTAACTCCCGCTTCACCGCTGCCAACTCCCCATTCATTGCTGTGAGCATGTGGCGCAGCTCATTCACCTCTTCCTTGTGTGCAACCAGGGTTTAGGGTTTAGAGTTTAGACCCGTGCTTGCTGCTGTGGCTCATGGCTGGGCTGGTGCATGGGGTGGCCGGGGGGCTTTGTGGGGGGAATGGGGAGCGAGTGGGAGGTATGGTATGCAATGATGTAGGGGTATGGGGGGGCAGGTGGGGGTGCAGCAGGGATAGGATATGCACCGAGGGACTGTGCAGGGGCAGCGGGGATGGGATATGAATAGGGGATAGTTATGGGCGAGATGGGAGTGCAGGGGCAGGAGATAGAACTTGAGTTAAGTCAGGTCCTCCTCCTCTGCCTGCCATCATCCTCTCAATGGCTTCCCCACCATCCCAACCTAACAGCAACATCATAGCAATTGCACCTTCTGACAACTGCTCACTTTCCCTCCCACATCAATCAAACAACGACAATCTGGTCTCCCCCAATTCTCCCACCATGCCCCACTCACCCTCCTGTGCTGCTCATGTATTTATCCCCTTGGTCTCTCTCCCTCTCCTCCCTCCCCGACCTCCCCCCCCCCATCTCCCCCATCTCCCCCCTCCCTCTTCCTCTTGGTGGTTGGATGATTTCACACAGGTGCCACATTCCAATCGACTTCCACAAATGCGCCCTCTGTATCCACACCTCATCGATACCTCATTCCACACCTCATCACTGTCAGAATGTTGTATTTGTCTAGCCTGCAGTGGGGTACTCTATAGCGAGTATAGCCCAAATTAGGGTTTGCTATATGTACTCAACTGCCTACTAGTGCAACCCCTCTTTTCCTGATTCTTGTTTCTGCCTGCTGTTTCTGATATGCTATCAGAGCAGGTCGACCCTCCTGGGTCGATCCTGTGGGTGGTCCCGCCCGATGCTTCCGCTGCTGTCCTGCCTATCGCATGCCCTGGGAGCGCGATGTTTGCTGCCTGCCGCGCGCTTAGGGCGCGCGGCGTTTTTTTTCCCGAGCGCGCGGCGGTTTTCTGCCCCGTCGACCCGCGCGTCGCCCCCCGGGAGCTTGTCGCGTCGCCCAGCAGACCCGCGTGTCGCCCCCGCTGCCCCGTCGTGGCGCCCTGGGGAGCCGCGGGCGGCCCCCCGCAGCTTCGTCGCGACGCCCTGGGGAGCCGCGCGCGGCCCCCGCTGCCTCGTCGCGACGCCCTGGGGAGCCGCGCGCGGCCCCCCGCTGCCCCGTCGCGGCGCCCTGGGGAGCCGCGCGCGGCCCCCGCTGCCTCGTCGCGACGCCCTGGGGAGCCGCGCGCGGCCCCCCGCTGCCCCGTCGCGGCGCCCTGCAGGACGCGCGCCGTCGCCCCCGCTGCTGCCCGCGCTCCTGCCCCGTGCTGCCCATGTTAGGGTTTGGGGGTGGCGAGTGTGGGGGTGGCGAGTATGGGGGTGACGGGTGTGTGCGCCGTCCCCTGCTCCTCCTCCTCCTTCGTCTCCCACTGCTGCAGCTGCCGCTGAGGGGGGTGGATGTGTTGGAGCCGTCGGAGTGGTACGAGGGGGGTGGCGTGTGAGCAGTGCTAGAGGTTAAACAGGGGGTGAGGGAAAGGGGTGTGGGACAGTTGGGGGAGGTTGAGCGAAGGTAGCCGTCGTGACGTTAGTAGCGCCAGTAGTCCGGGGCCCTTGCCACTGGTAGCCCAGCGAGCCTGCTGCGCCAGTCGCCCGTGGGTCCGTTGCTCCTGCCGCTCGTCTTAGCGCGGAGCCAGTTACTCCTGTAGTCCGGGGCCCTTGCCACCGGTAGCCACTGTGTGCGCGCTCCTGTTGCCCGTGTGTCTGCGGCTTCACCCGTCGCCTCCTATCTTCTCGCCCTCACAATGTCTGCTCCTCCTCACTTGCCCTCTGTGATAGCCTCTAGCTTTGCTTATCATTGTGAACTACTGCTCTGCCTGCTTATTGTGCTGATTACACCCCACTTTGGCTATGGGGATGTGTCAGAATGTTGTATTTGTCTAGCCTGCAGTGGGGTACTCTATAGCGAGTACAGCCCAAATTAGGGTTTGCTATATGTACTCAACTGTGTTAAACAGGCTAGGCGAAAACGAGAAATAGGCAAAGAGGGATTTCACTAGCAAGCAGTTGAGTACATATAGGAAACCCTAATTCGGGTTGTACTCGCTATGGAGTACCCCACTGCAGGCTAAACAAACATCACATTCTGACGAACTGCCTGCTAGTGCAACCCCTCTTTTCTTGATTCTTGTTTCTGCCTGCTGTTTCTGATAATCACATATCTTATCCTGCAACTCATCCATACATCATTCTATATTACACATGCCACTGCACTACCGTTTCTGAATCACTTTCGCTTCCCCCATCCCTTCCTTCTCGTGTGGGCCCCTCACTACTTCCATGCACAGCAGAAGATAAGTCCATGCTCACTATTGATTGAGCACAATGATAAAGATGGGTGCCACACTGCAGCAGAAGATGAGTCGATAGTAACCTGCCATGGGGGTGTGTTGAGTGGGTGGAGAGTGCGTGGGGCTGCAATAAGGAGGTGCAGTTGTGGCAGCTTGTGTCTTTTACAAGATGCAGGTGTTCTAAGCATACCGTATCAGGCATGTAGGTATTCAGAAACAAAAAAATGCACTGCAAGAGCTGGTGACACACACGAGGGCGAGCTGCTTGCAAAGCAATAGCGAGCGAGCAGCAGTCTCACTTAAAACAGCCAGAACAAGGCAACCAAACAGCCAAGCGTCCCTGTGGAGCTCCCCTCATCGGGCCATGTGAGACTACTCACCCCTGATCTCCATCCTCAACAGCCGCCGCAGCTGCTGCACCATGCTCGTCTCCCTCAAAACTCCCTTGCTCGCCCTTGTCCCCAGATTCCCTGCCTTGCCTTCCCTTCCCCTCCTGCTCCACCTCACCTACTACCCCCCCCCCCCCCCCCTCCCACCCCCATTACCCTTACCCGTCTGCCCTGCTCATGACCACTTGCCCCTCCATCATAAGCAATGGCAGGCAGGTAATTTCTATGCAGCTCCCTGTATGCACATGGTTTCTTGCCCAACCAGCCCTACACCTGCTGCTGCCCAGCTGCAAAGCACGAGTTCCATACGACCATTCTCCAACTCTTTGCAACATGCCAGTCAAGGCCACCTTTCCATGCTCCACTACTTCACATGCATGCCTCCCCTCATCCTTCACACCCCTTGCCTCCACGCCTCTCCTCAGTCTCCCCCAGGCAGTCAGTCAAATCTTCCCTCACCTCCCTTTCCATCACCACTCCCTGACACTCTACCTGCCTATCCGCCTGCGTATATTATCCTTCCCTAAGTGACTTCTTCCTGATGTCCAGAGAGTTGACGGCTTGGTCAGGGCAGTTAGCTGCTGCAGCCCATCCTCCGTGACTGCCGTGAGATTCAGAGCAAGGTCATCAAGCGCTGTCAGCCTCCCCACATGCACCATGCCAGCATCCGTCACACCCTTACATTCATTAAGTGCTAAAAGTGTGAGTGATGGGAGATCTATCAAGCATGGAAGACCAGCATCGGTCACCTTGGTATTAAAGAGAAAGAAGCACGTGAGGCTGGTCAAGGACCCAATGCCTTCCAAGGCACTGTTTGAGATGTCTGAGGCGCGGAGGTCTAGCTTCTCCAGGCGTGGCAGCCTGTAGAGGTGCTTGATGCCCTCTGCACTGAAGCCTGAGCAAGAGTCCAAGCCAATGCTCTCCAGATGGGTCATTGTGGAGACATGGCCGAGCATGGCGTCTGAGAGGCAGTTGAGATTCCTCAGCTCCAGTTCGGTCTTCTGTGATGCTGACTTGATTGCCTGGAGGAAATGGGTAGGGAAAACATGACAAGAGAATGGATGACCATGGAAGGAAAATGGCAAGGCCGCACCTGTAACATACTTCACTCAACACTCACCTTGGGCATTGACCCGACCCGACCCGTCTAGGTCGACCCGAGGTCAGGTACGGGTCGGGTCGAATATACCCGACCCCGGGTATTTGGGCCAAGGATGTTCACCTGACCCGCCCAGAACCTCTCGAGTATCTCTGATTTGCGGTCGGGTCGGGTATACCCGAATACCCTTTTCATAGTTTTATTAATTGGAAGCAGAAAGATGTTTGTTATGGAATACATCGACGGGTATTCAATACCCGAATTTGGACACCCTGGCCAAGTATCGGGTATTTCGTACCCGCCCGAGTATACACTACCCGACCCACCCGGGTAGCCAATCCCAATGTAAGGACCCGACCCGACTTTCCCGTCGGGGTCTTTTGCCCATGCCAACACTCACCTCCCATGCAGCCTTCTGATCCCCTTCACTCTGCATGATTTCCACGTCAACATTCCACTTCAGGACTTGTGTCCTCCGCCGTCCCTTGCCGACTGCCGATTCCCCCATGCCACGAGGACGATTCAACTCCTGCACCTCCTTCCTCCTCTCCTCCTCTCGTGCACACTCCAATGCCATTTCTTGCCTTCTCTTTCTACTCTTCCCTCTCTGCCCTGTTCCACCCGATGCCCTATCTGCCATGGTGCCCTTGAGTTCCGCCAACTCCCCCTGCACTGCTGTCAGCATGTGCCGCAGCTCATCCACCTCCTCCTTGTGTGCAGCCAGCTCCTCTCTCACTGCTGCCAGCACCGCCTCTTTGATCAACTCGTTCACTGCACTCGTCACTCTCTCAGCAGCCATGTGATCCACTGGATGGACACTCCTTAGACGACCCGTCTTCAATGACTGGACCGGTCCCCGTTAGCCGCAGGTTGATGATCTGGGTGGGGTAGGGTCGGGTGACAAGACGAAGAAGTTGGTAAACAACGCATTCACGGCAAAGAAACATCAACGCATACACGGCAAAGAAACATCGCATGGGCTTGACGGCTTGTGGTGCAATCCGTAAGGGAAGAGCAGAGGAGCAGTTGTGGGTGGAGACATGATGACAAGATATGCGGAATGGATCTAACAGATGTATGTAGATCAAGCAGTGACGAATCTTGCGAACACTCTGCACAGGATTTGACTTCTGTGGGATTAGGCCAGGAGGATGAGAGGAAGAGCTAAACAGAGGGGTGGCACACAGAGGGGTGGCACTTGCACAAAGAGTTGAGGTACAACCAGCAGCACTTGGCCAAAGCAGAATACGGGAGGAGAGAAGAAGCATGATAAAGATGCTGCATGAGAATGCGGAGCAGCAGATATGGCCACAAGTGAAGATTTCACCTCAGCCTGCCACGAAACCTGCCAGCTTTTCTCCTTACCATACCACAGTCAGGCAGGCGAGGGAAGCCGGAGCGAGCACACAACGAAGGGATCTGAAAGTAGAGGGCGAGGGAGAACGGAATGGTAGTGAATGCCATGGAACAAATGACCAAAGGGCCGAGCAGTGGCTTGGCCGTTTGAGGTGCTCTTTGAGCCGAGAAAGGAGATTCTTGAAATCGACTCGCAGCGTGGAGTGGAATCCAACTTGCCTCTCAGCAAGCTGGTCGGCTCGAGTCGAGACGACGGGGCTGACTGGAAAGCAGAGCAACTCGTGCTGGGTTTCCAATACACTTCTAGATACTCAACAGACAATGTGATTATGTGACAGAAAAAAAACCATCTTGCTCGCTGGTAGTCAGAGTCTAAGACAATAAAAGAGTAGGCCACTTGCAAAACTAAGACCTCACAAGCTAGGCAAGTCACAAGCTAGGTCAAACAAAGGCTACGTCGGTTACAACCTGGGTCACTCCCACGCTAGGTCGGTCAAAAGCTAGGCCACTCACAGGTTAGGGCGGTACACACTAGGTCAGTCACAGATTCAGTCAGTCAGTCCGAGGTAGGGTACTCCCTGGTTAGGTCAATCCTTGGCTAGGTCACTAGTTGGCTACGTCACTAGTTGGCTAGGTCACTCACTGACTAGGTCACTCACTGACAAGATCAACTAGAGGTGAGCTCCTCCACCTGCTAGGTCAGTCAGTCAGAAAGCCGAGGTTAAGTCAGAGGCTGTGACGGTTACAGGCTAGAATAACTTCAAGATAGGCCAGCAACAGAATAGGTCAGTCGGAAGCCACAACAGTCATAAGGTAGGTCAGTCAAAACGTAGATCAGAGGCTAGGTCAATAACAATATAGGTCAGACTAATGGGGAGGACACTACAGGCTAAATCATTGAGAGGCTACGACACTCACAGACAATTAACACACTCGCAAGCTGCGACACTCAGAGGATACTAAGACACTTACAGGAAACAAGGCACTCACGACAAACATCAAAGAAGGAAAAAGTCTGTTAAATAAGGGGAAGGGGAAGGAGGGGTGGGAGAGAAGGTCAAGGTCAACTAATGGGGAGGAGAGGAGGTTGATGTTCGCATGTAGAAAAACAAGAATCCAGCACGGGATGTTCCTGTCGAGGCGAGGATCTTCTTCCTCGTGTTCATTTTAGGTCCGTCTCACCTTAGTACCGCCAAGCAATCAGCGTTACGTTGTTTCGGTTTTATCGCCGCCTAGCAATAGAGGTAGGTTGATTTGTTTCTACCTTAGCGCCTAGCAATCAGCTTTATTTGTTTTTGCTATCTTATCCCGCTACGCGATCCGTATCAGCTCGTTTTTATACTTCACAACACAAACGTCATGTTCACTCTGGAGTTTATGTTCTCTCTAGCAGAATCGACCTGCATTTGCACCTTCAATGTGACTAAGAAGCCACATTACCAGGTCGAGTCAGCCTCGACTCGCAAGCTGGGGCCGACTTGACTATAGTTGAATCGACTCGGCCTGTGCACAATGTCTAGGTCAGTCACAAGCTAGGTGAGCCAAGTTCAGTCAGTCACGGCAAGATCAGTCCCAGGCTGGGTCACTCACCGCCTAGGATGGTCACAAGCTGACGTAGGTCACGGGCTAAGTCGGTCGACAGAGCCTCGCCTGGTTCGTGGAGTCACGATAATGTCACTCACCATGCATTGACCGTCCAAGCCTGTGATGTGACCAACCGCATTGTCGGCCTGGGCCTTTCCCTTGCTAAATTTTCCATTGATTGACCTAGGCTCGGACTGACATAGACTTTGACTTAGCCTCTCATTGTTGCCTGGCCCCTTCTCGTGTTGTGTTTCCTCGCCCTGGTTCAGACACTCACACTGTTTCCAGGGGCCAGGGGAGCAATACTACGAGGGGCTAAGAATGCGTCAAACCTCTCAGCGGTTTGCAGAATTCGTAAGCGACTCGGTGTAACTAAAAGTTGCACATCGGGCTCTGACAGAACAACGAGCATCGCGATTTAGGGTTGCAAGGCTGTGAGGCGCAGCCTTGCAAGGCTAAAAAATCGTATGCTATCGCGTATCCGCGGCCCTCGAAGTGACTCAGCAGCGACGCGGATCAAATCGAGCCGCGATGCGTGCTGGGTGATGGCGAGGGTCGATATCGAGCGGTCGATGTACTGACGTGCAGTTTTTTCACGACGCGTGGCGGCAGTGACGGCTACCGAATCCGGACAGCGATAACAGTGCTTGCTGGCGCATATCTAGCTGTTTGCGACTAGAACCTAATAGTACCGCCGCTAGTATTTGTAAGCAATATTCGGGGATGATTGTAAGGGGGGAAATGACAACGTATCTTGGTGCGAAAATCGACCAAGACTTGTTCGCAACTCACCGAATCTTTCGGAAGTTCGAGTCCGCCCAATTTGCGAGACACAAGAAACCCTTACCACCTGTTACACAACTAAATGTTTCGCCTTTCCGAAATTTCATTTCGCCAAGGTGACGGGCATCGAAGGAAGCAGTTACCTCCCTGAATGGTGTTCAACACCTTTGAGTCGAAGTACAACTTGCACAACCATTCCAGGCGGATCTCTCAGATACAATGTCAAGCATAAGAAGTCCTTAGCATGCTCATTACCGTCTTTTCAGGAGGTGTACGAGTCATCTAGGGTCGGCGTTACTACTTATGAACGCCTTATATCTTCCGAACCCGCGTCGCAAATAGCACAGTCATCCCGCAGTATCCCACCCTCGTCTCGCTTTCTATCTGTTCGTCTCCATACCTCTCAGAGAGTCGCTCAGCGGGAGCCTACGTCATTTGGCCTCTGCCGCACTTCTATTACGTAAGCATCTCAATTTATCAAGTGAAGATCACAATTACTGCGCGCTTTAGATCGTTTGAAATGTTCAATGCACATCTCGGAGCTCAGGTTCAAGTGTTTACTACGAAGCCTAGACGTCATAGCCTCATGGATCTACGAAACCCTAGAAACAGGCCAAAGTAAGGCCAGTTCCGTCATTCCACTAATCTCTGCTTGCATTCCGGCAGTATATTCCTCCTTTCGCCGATGCTCTTGAGTCCGTTGATGCACCCTGTCCTCTGTTTCTCTCGTCGGCGTACCCCTGCCCTCCTCACGGTCTCCATTCAACGCTCGCTCCCAGAGCTTAGCGCGCTGAAAATAAATGCACAGTAAAGAGTCATTGTCATGCATGGAGGCTTCACGCTTCCATGCTCATATTAGGGCAAGCTGATCGCCTATCGGGTATTCACTGACATAATGTGTTATTCAAACTGAACATAGGCATTGCAAAACTAATTGGATGTGTGCCCTGGCATTGAGTCTTATACTCACAAATCCGTGTCATTTTTCCCTCCTTCAATTTCTTCCCTTAATGCATTTTGAATTACCGGTATAAGGAAATGTTTTATTTCTGCTACAGCTGTGCTAGATCGCATTTTTTTACCAAAATAACGAGGTGTGGCGAGTATCACTCGCCAAAGTGAGTACTTCTCAGGCGCTCAACCGACTCATTAGTACTCCCCTCGTTGAGAGGGTGTTTCTTGCCCATGACGAGACAAGCAACACTCGCCTCGCCCTCCACGCCCTTGTGAATGAAAACCCACCCTGCACACGACCGAACATTCTAATCTTTCCCCTCTCCCACCCCACCTATAAAACCACACACCTGAAGACCACCCTCACTAGCCCAGAAAGTAGTTCTGATTCCTAAAAACCATTGCAAGGATGTTCTCTGAGATGTCGTGAAAGGGGCCAATTGCAAGGACACTTCATTCGCAGATTGACTTTGCCCCCCCCTTTTGGCCAGGTAGGAAATACTCGTTTACTTGACAAGCGAGTGACTTGCCTCGCCCGGATGAGGCGAGGCCTCAGTCTTGACCACTTTCAGTAATCAAACTCAGGCAAGCATTCACTCGCCGTTCACCCGTGTCAACTTGATTTGAATGTTTCTCCTTCCCCCTGTTTGCCTCCGTGCCTTAACCTCCACCTGATTTGGATATGCTACAGTGCCATCCATTTCAGGCAGTCTGTAGCAAGCAAGGAGCCGGCTGAACTGAAGCCGCACTTATGGCAATAAAGATGGGGACAAATGAGATAGGTGAAGCAGTGAAAGCACTGTTTGGGTTGGTGAGGGAGGAGTTAGCAGCAGGAGTGAAGGGGGAGCTGGGCGCACTTTGGGAGGAGGTGGGCAGACAGAACGAGCGAGTGTTGATGCTCGAGAAGAGGAGCTGGGTCGTGGAGAATGAGGTGACTGAGCTGAGGCACGCACTGAATGTATTGGAAGAGACGAGTGAGACGACTGCTGCTGTAGTGGAGAAGAGGGAGATAGAGCTAGCAGCAGTGAAGGGGGGGTTGCGTGGAGTGGAGGAAGAGCTGACCTGCGTCAAAGGGGAGTTGACTAAGGTGGAAAGAAAGTCTCTTGAAGTCCAAGAGGAATTGGCTGGAGTAAAGAGGGAATTAACGCGGGAGAAGGGGAGTTTAGCTGCAGTAGTGGGGGAAATGGCTGGAGTCAAAGGGAAGATGAATGGGATGAAGGAAGAGTTGACTGGCCTAAAAGAAGAGTTGACTAGTGTGGAAGAGAATGCTACAGGGGTCAAAGAGGAGCTGGCTGGAGTAAAAAGGGGACTATTTAGAGTGGAGGAGGAGTTGAGTGGCGTCAAGGGGGATATGAGAGGAGTGAAAGAGGAATTGATTGGAGAGAAGGGCGAGCTAGCGGTAGTGAAGGGTGGATTAGCTGAAATCCAAGGGGAAACGCTTGAAATGAAGGTGAAGTTGAGAGGAGTCGAAGAAAAGTGTCTTGGATTTGAAGCGAAATTCGCTGGAGTAGTAAGGGAATTGGGTGAGGAGAAGGGTGAATTACTGACAGTGAAGGCGGAATTAGCCGGAGTGAAAGGAGAGATGTATAGAATGCAGGAGGAGTTGACTGTTGTCAAAGCAGAGTTGAATGAAGTGGCCGACAAGTTCTCTGGAGTCGAGGGGGTATTGTCTGGGGTAAAGGGGGGACTGACTAGGGCAGAGGAGGATTTGAATGGAGTCAAATGGGAATTGACAGGAAAGAAGGAATTGCTACATGCAATGGGGGGGGAAATAGCCAGTGTGAAAGGGGAGATGCGTGAAATGAAGGAGGACGTCAAAGGGGAGTTGACTGCAGCAAAGGGGGAGGTGACTGAAGTGAAAGAGGAATTGACTGGCTTCAAGGGGGGGTTGTATCAAGTCAATTGGAAATTGACGGGAGTGATGGGGGATTTGATTAAAATAAGGCGGGCATTGACTGGAGTCAAAGGAGAGGTGACCGGGGCTGTGAATAAGGTGTCTGGAGTGAAAATAGAGCTGATGAAAGTCGACATAAGGTTGGATAAGGTAAAGGGTGGGCTGGCGCAAGTGAAGGAAGAATGTGCTGGAGTCAAAGAGAAAGTTACTGGATTCAGGAGGGGGTTAACTGAAGTGAAGGAGGAGTTAATTACAGTCAAAGGGGCGTTGACTGAAGTTGAGGGAAGGTTGACCAGAGTCCAAGGAGAGATGGCTGGAGTAAAGGGAGGATTGAACGAAGTGAAGGAAGATGTGTCTGGAGTGAATGGGCAGTTGAGTGGAGTGAATGACGGGTTGGTGGAGCTGAAGAGCCACACGATGACGGTGAAGTCATTTGTGAAAGAGGTGATGGAGCTCAGAGGAGCAATCGCTGTAGTGCAGGAGAGTGGTGTAGCAGAGGGGTTTGGAAGAAACGGGGCCATGGGGAGGCAAGGAGAGGGGCCAGCAGCCTCAACCATGGAGGTTGCGAGACTGAGTAACCGCGTCTGGAAGGTGGTCGCAGCCCTTGTGCGGTGGCAAGGGGGAAGCCAAGACACGTGGGAGGTGAGCATGGGTCATGCAGTTGTACATCATGCCCCACTGTTTCCTGTGCCAGTTACAACTTTGGTTGCTCCCTTGGTATGCTTGCTGATTCGGTTTAGAAGGTCCATGCATGAATCGTTATGCTCCGACAGTTTCTGACTTTTAGGTGTCGCGATCCTTTGTTGGCGCTCCATTAACGTTTTTTCCCCCACATTATGCACCAGCATGGAATGGGTGGGTGAGTTATGCATAGGAGCAGCGTTTGAAATGTCTTGAGGTCGTTCTGAGTTTTCTGTGCTTCTTTTCCTCCAGAAAATCCTGTCGGCATGGAGTGGACCCACAGCGGGAAGAAACACGCTGGAGCTGAAGAATCTCACCAACCTGTCCAGCGCTGCTCTCCACCACGTGTCCAGATTGCACGACCTGAAGGAACTCAGCCTGTACGGGTCATCTGGGTTTGATGCAGCGGGCTTAAAGCACGTGTTCAAGCTGGCAGGGCTAGTGAAGCTGGACCTCAGCTACTGTGCCACACTGGATGGGTTAGAAGGCATTTGTGCACTGAAGGGACTCGAGGACCTCTGCTTGAGTAACACTGGGGTGAATGACGCTTCTTTGCTGCATCTGACAGGCCTCTCCTCACTCAGGATTCTGTGGTTGCATAACTGTGGCGGTGTCACCTCTGCTGGCATGGTGTATGTGGGGAAGCTGACAAGCCTTGAGGAGCTGTACCTTCGAGGCACTGGGGTCAAAGACAAGGGCCTTCAGCATCTGACCTCCCTCACGAACCTGAAGGTTCTCTCGGCGCCAACAATGCTCACAGATGAGGGCATGGAGCATGTGAAGCATCTGTCGGGGTTGAGGAGGGTGGAGTTGCTGGACTGCAAGTTCACCAGGAGGGCGGTTGAGTGCCTCCAGGGCCTGCTAGGCCTGGAGCGCATTAAGACGAATGTGGAGAGGCTGCTGGCGTTGAAGAGTGCTGACTTTCCAGGGGTGACAGTGGGCAGTGAGCGTTGGATCCTATTTGACTGATCAAGGCATGAAGGATAGTTTTGTATATGTGGATGGTAGTATTGCCTGTGTGTTTGTTTGTGCTTGTGTATACATGTCCGTCTGGTGTTCTAACATCTGTACATTTGACTGACCAAAGCAGCAACATGCTTGCATGTGCACTTACAAGAGCGTGGATTATTGGCCCAATCCTTGTAAGGCAGTACCACAAGAAGAAACCTAACCAACACCAGCAAGTAACCTACCCTTAACCCCCAAAACCCACTGCCTACTTCAAGCCATGTTCCTTCAGCCCACCTTCTGTATCCACTCTACCCGCCTTTCCTATCACACACACCTCCCCCTGTCAGTTAACGCCCTGCAGGTCAATCACATGCTGCCTATCCAGCAGCGACTGAGGCAAACTCTTGAGCCTGCCGCACCCTCCTATGATCACCTCCCTCAACGTCCCCACACCCGCCAGCCCCTCCGGCAGCGCCCGCAGCTCTTCACAGTCTTCCAGCGAGAGGATCACCAAGGCGGGAAGGCGGGAGATGGACTCTGGCAGGCGGCGCAGGCGGAAAAGACCATTAAGTTTGAGGGAGGCGAGACAGGGGAGGGAGCCGATGGAGTTGGGGAGAGAGGAGAACTTGTCGCATTCAATGATGGAGAGGAGGACGAGGGAGGAGAGGAGGCCGATGGACGCAGGCAGCCCCACCAGCGCATCGCACGCCTCCACAGATAGCTCTTTCAAGGACTTCAGCTGCCCAAGATTCTTGGGCAGGCGCGCCAGCCTAGGAAGGGTGCTCAGAACGAGTTTTTCGAGGTTGGAGAGGTGGGGTAGGGAGGCGGGGAGGGAGGGCATGCAAATGCACCTCTCAAGAATGAGCACCTTGAGGCTTTTGAGGTCACTAAGATTGCTCGGCAGCAACGGTAGGCGCGTTTTCACGATCGCCAGATACTGCAGAGTCGAGAGGAGCGCCAATCTGGCTGGCTGACCGGGTTGAGGATCAACTGGGAAACCGTCAACCTGATCGGCTTCAGTTGCGGCCCCGGCGCCATGCGGGCGAGGGGCGAAGAGCGCCTGGAGAGAGATGAGATGGGTGAGGCGCGAGAGGGAGAGGAAGGAGTCCGGCAGGTAACGCGCTTCTTGAAAGACGTCAAGCAGTGAGACCGTGGTGACGGAGGGGGGGAGGGCGATGGGCGCAGCATGTGAGGCTGAGGAGGGGCCGTCTGAAAGGCTCGGGCAGTTGGAAATCTCCAGGCTGTGAAGCATGGGGAACGGAGAGGAGCAAGCAGCAGGGTGTGCTGAAAGGCGTGTTGCAGAATGCGGGGCAGCAGGGACAGCAGGGGCAGCAGCGGCAGAAGGGGCAGCAGCGGCAGAAGGGGCAGCAGCGGCAGAAGGGGCAGCAGCGGCAGAAGGGGCAGCAGCGGCAGCAGTGGCAGGCAGGAAGGACGGGAAGCAGCTTAGCTGCGGGCAGTTCTTGACATGCAGCACTTGCAGCCCAGCCAGCCGTCCCAACCCCTCTGGCAACCTCTCCAGCGCGTCACACCCATCAATCACCAGCTGCTGCAGGCGCATGAGCTGGGAGACGTAAGCCGGCAAGCTGTGCAGCAGGCAGCGCCCCAACAGCCTTTGGACCAGTTCGTCCAGGAGGGGCGGATCGTCCATCAGCGTGTACACCGGGGGCGATTCGTCCTGCGTGGTCACTGAGAACGGCGTGGGAGGCGGCCACGCGGGCTGCCCTGGCTCCGCGTCGTTTCTCGTGTAAAAGTCCCTGCTTCCCACATGGAGAACCTCCAGCTTCGGCAGCTGCCCGAACCTCTCCGGCAGTCTCGGTATGGCGCAATTTATCAGCTCCAAGCGTCGCAGTTGTGGGAGGTGCTCGAAGGAGGGCGGCAGGGAGGTGAGTTCCCCCGTAGATGGCTAGGGTTTCAAGCGAGGACAGATTAGCGAAAGACACGGGCAGCTCGAGAAGCCCGTAGCAGGCATAGAGCCTCAGCTCCTGCAGCTTCTTCAGCTGCCCAAACGACCTCGGCAGGGCAGCCAAGTCCCTGCAGGACAGTTTCAGCCGCACCAGATTCGAGAGCTGCCCGAAATCCTCGGGCAACGCCCACGCCGCGCAGCCGTCGAATGTGAGGCGGGCGAGGGAGGCGAGGGCGGAGACCGAAGGTGGGAGTCCCACGAGGCGGCTGCAGCTGACGATTCTGAGCTCCTGGAGGCGAGACGCGCCACCCAGGGAGACCGGAAGGGCCGTGAGGGCATTGAGAAAGCTGAGGTCGACGCGTTCTAGGGTGGGAATGTGGCCGATGGCGTCCGGCAGGGCTGAGAGCGCTTGGCAGTTGTGGAGAGAGAGGTGCTCGAGCGTGCTGCTGGCAGAGAGCGACGGCGAGAGGTGCGTGATGCGACCGTTGTTTAGAAATTTCAAGTCACGCAGCGCAGGCAGCTGCCCTAAAGATTCTGGGAGGGCAGTTGAGCAATGAGTTCTTCTAAGTGCATGGTGCGCAGATTCGCCAGCTCGTGCAAGTTTTCGAGCAGTTTAACGAGCTTGTAACACTGAAAGATGGTCAGGGTGGTAAGCGCAGAGAGGAGGCAGATGGAGGCGGGCAGCTCGACAAGCTGCGCTAGTCGCTGGAGACTCAGGATCTTGAGGTTTCGGAGCTGCCCGAAGCCGCTGGGCAGGTGGGAAAAATTGCAGCGGCGGAACTGGATGTGCTCCAGGGCGGGCAGCTCGCAAAAGGAATTGGGCAGCACGAGGGAAGACGAAATTATCTGCAACCGCTTCAGTCGCACCAGACTGCCTAACTCGGATGGTAACGTCATAACAGCTTCGCGAAAGGACATGCTGAGTTTCGTGAGCTGCTGCAGGCAAACGACGGCCGAGGGAATTTCAGAAATCCCTTTCCCGAAGTTCACGGCAAGACTGACCAATCGCGTGCAAGACCAGAACAAGGCGGCGACATCAGCCGACGAAATCGCCCCGGCCGCTAACGCCGCTTCCGCCACCTTCGCCGCCTGCGTGCCGACCCGGGAGGAGGGTACTGACGCGCGTGCCAGCCGTCGTATAGCTGCAGCGAAAGAGGCGTTAAGGACGGTCCAGATCCGGCGCAGATGGCGCGCATGAGCGCGGGATCGACGGTGTCCAGCGCATTGGGCGCGAGGTGCAGGTGGCGGAGGTTGGGGAACCCCACGGTGGCGGGCGCGCGGAGGAGCGATGCGAGGGCGCGAGCGGAGAAGAAGCGGTCGAGCGGAACGACGATGGAGGGAACCACGAACCGGGCGACGCGCAACCGGCGCTTGCAGACGAGCGCGTGGCGAAACGATACCAGCGACGACGAACACCTAACGGGAGCCTCGGGATTGTCGGCGAGCCACGCGCTTTCGGAGGGAAGCGGTTCAATTAGGGCCTCGTCGATATTCTTTTCCGTATCTGCTTCGTCCTCGTCACTCATAGGACAATCCTGGCCGCCGAATCTGACGCCGTTGCATGCCACGCGCAGCAGCATGGCGCCAAGCAGATTGTCAGAGAACGCAGAGAAAGGATCGGCGTCGGTTCGGGGTGGTGCTTCCTGATCAGAAGCGTTAGCCATTGCCTGGTCTGACATTTCTGCTAGCGTTTGCTCGAAAGACGCCATGGTTGCGGGACGAGAACTCAGCTCTGGGCCAGGTTTTTATTAAGGTCGTAACCCATACAGCACAGGGGCTAAACAAGGGGATAAGCCAGGTCTACGAGGCCTACGCTACACAGCGTTTGTTTAGCCGAACTAGGTTCGCGTGCAGGAAAGTCCTGCACACCCAGTGCTGGTTTGGAAGGTCGAGCCTGTGGGAGCTAGGGTGGTTGATACGCGTTGTTGAGCAACCAGGTGGATCGAAGTCTGGGGTCCAGTTGAGGTTGGCCGTTGGGAGAGAATTGTAGGAAGTGGTGAGTGGTGGCCGTTTTGACGCGGTTGGATGTGGTTCGTCTTCGTTTCTCAGAGTATTTGCTGCGGCGATGGAAGTAGACTTGGCACGCCGAGAAAAACAGAGCCAAAATTCGATGTAGCGTGGCCACAGGCGGGTGTGAGGTGTTATCGTGTATCTGTGAGCAGCGCTCTCGCCATAAGGTAGTAGCTGCAGCCCCTACCAGCAGGCACCAGGGCGCAATGTTTCCGTCAGGGGCGGATGGTGGCAGAAAAACCTCTTCGGCTGGTAGACGTAGATTGAGGTGGGTGATGGCGGTTCTTTGTAGCGCGGTAACCACCGCATGCGCATTGCCGCATTAAAAAAAAATGTGAACGTGGGATTCCATGACATTGGCTCGACATCGCGGGCAGATTCCTTGTGTCCGCGTGAAAGGTAAGCGTTCTCCGCATGGAAGGGAGTGGGCGTAGAGGCGGAAGAGGATGTCCTTTTGACAACTTGTATGGTCTTTAAGGAAGGGGTGGAGAAGATTGGGGATAGAGTCTCGTGGCTGCTGAAGGAAGTGATTCCATTTTTCCAAGTGGGGGAGTTGCTACTGCGTGTAGAGGTGATTACGAATCACTGCTAGGGACGGCTGTTGGCGAAGAGTCTCGTGTCGTACCCCCAGTGCCGCTCCCGAGCAGAAAGGTCCCGCGACCCAGCCGTCGATAACGCACACCGTGATGACGTCCTCGAAGCCAAAATTCACCTCTCGTGCTGGCGTCTTGCTCACACGTCTGCTTGTGACGTCGTAGTACTCGGGTTGCGCCTGCTGGTTATCCAAAATGCGGGTGACGCGGAGTATCCGTTGGTGAGTAGTGGAGGGGATGGCCTCAAAAGCCCAGTCGTTCACCGTGAGATAGCCTGGGGCCGGAGCGAATTTGGTGAGAGTTGCCCACCATTCGTCCGAAACCGCGGCGTATATTTTCTGTAAGATGCTGAACCCACCGGGAAAGTCCTTGGGCAGGTATTTAGCGCGGAATTTCTTCTTCGTCATTCGGCGCGAGCCTCTGGGGATGGGGACTAGTAATTGCCCTAGTCGAATTTGCTTTTCTAGCAGGAACTTTTCGTTTTTAACTTTGCCAAAGGGCTTCTCGTCGGGGTGATGTAAGAACCGGTTAAATGCCACTGGTTCGGCCATAAGTACCCAGGGTTCGTGCCGTGGGGGGGAGATTTTTGCTGTGATTTTGAGCAAGCTTTGAAGCTCCGCGTGTGCTCGTGGTGGGGTTGAGTCCGGGAGATGTTTCAGAATATCCGGGTGAGCGAGGTAGCGGTGCAGGCCATAGGGGAGGGTGGAGCATGCACGCGCGGTGTCTTCATAGGGGGTAGGAAGGAATCGGCGGATCGCCCGTTGGACGTTGAGTGCGTCGAGGAGGAGAGAGGGTTCGGTTGCCCCCACCCCCCCATGTTTCCTTTTGTTGAATAGAAAGCTTTTGGGTATGAGGCGAGTTGGCCGACCGTCTTCCTTATATTTGGAAGAGGCCAGGAAGGTGCCGACCACGTGGTCTAACTGCTTGATGGCAGATTGGGGGGGGGGGGGGGGGGGGGTTGGAATCTGCCCCCAAAGCCATAGACAGACGCAAGCCTTTCATTGGTGAGTAAGTTGCGGCACGTCGTGGTAGCGTGGATCCGAGCGATGTAGTCTGTTGTGGTCCGAACCTTGGAGAGAATGTGGTCCCACGTGGTGAGACCGGGTTGATCCCGTTCTACGTATATTCCCAAAATCCGTTCAGCCTCGTCGGATTGTCGTATGGGGATGCAGCCAGCATTGGAGATGCTAGAGATTGGAACATTGAATGGGATTATAGTGCATTTATCCCAGTTAGGGTATTCCCCTGAGCATCTAGCGAACTCATCGAGTTTTTCTTTTGCGGTGAGTAGTTCGGAGTCCGAGTTGAGGAAAATTGAAACGTCGTCAGCGTAACAGGCCATTAAGCGTTGTTGGACGGGAGAAATTGCAAAGCCAGGAAGGGCGGTCGAGAGGTACCGCTGCAGGACTTCGATTACGCATAGGAAGAGGAGTGGTGCGAGGGGGCAGCCCTGACGAACACCGGTTCGTACCTGAAACCGAGGGCCAGCAGCGTTGTTGACTGATACGTGGGTGTAGTTGTTTGAGTGGAGACGCCTGACCCAAGCGACGAACGCGGGAGGGATGCCCAGGTGGGAGAGACAACGGAAGAGAAATTCCCTATCTACCATGTCATATGCCTTTCGTATGTCAACGGTGAGGACAAGCATAGGGAGGTTGTTGAGAGCCGCCCAATCCATGAGATCTAATGAATCGTTGATAGTGTCGCCAATCTTTCGTCCTTTAACAAAGGCGGTTTGCGCATGGTGTATGATTCTGGGGAGGATTGATTGGAGACGGTTGGCTAGGGTGATGGCCAAGAGCTTGTAGTCCGAGTTCATTAGCGTGATTGGTCGTAAATTTTCCACCAGAGCCGAATTGCCCTTTTTGGGGATAAGGACTGTACGTCCTTCAAGCATTGATGGGGGTAGGGCATTGTGGTTTAGAATGTTACCAAAGAGCTTGTGCACCACGGGAACCAAGGTGGACTTGTGTGCGCGGAAAAGGTCTCCCGAGAGACCATCGGTGCCGAGAGTTTTTCCTCTGGCCAGGGTGGTGAAGGCTCGTTCCACTTCGACGTGGCTGATAGGTGAGTCCAGGCTTGAGATGCAAGCAGGAAGGAGCTGTGAGGGGTATATGTGGGACCAGAAGGTAGCAGATGGGCAGACGGGCGTACTACCGCTGTACAGGTTGCTGAAAAATGTGGTACAATGTTGGGTCATGGGGATGAGATTGGAGATTGTTTCTCCAGAGGGGAGTTGTAGGTGTGGAATCTGTGATTCTTTGAGCCGTTTGTTTAGGCCAACTAACAGCGAGGACAGGCCCATTTCGCGCGCTCCTTCTACCTTAATCTTGGCTTTGAGCGCGATTTCGGCGGTACGAGTGCTCATGTAGTGCTCAATGCGTAAGAGTTGTTGTTCAAGCCGTTTTGCCTCTGCCCGGGAGTCGGGGTATTTAAGCAGGTGCATTTGGAGGTGACAAACCTCATCTTGCATGTGGGTCAAGGTTTTATTAACTCTTGTGCGTTCTTCCTTGGCATATCTTTTGAGTTTCTGGCAGAGAACCTGCTTGCAGGTGTCCCACTGGACGGGGTAACACATAAAGCCAGGAAGCGAGGATAAGCGACCATGATGCAGAGGATAGAGACTTGGACAGAACTCTTGGGAAGTGTTTAGAGGAAGAGACAGACAGCATGCGACAACGTGATAACCTGGCGTGGACAGAACCGAGATAGTAAGAAGTGAGCAAGATGAAAGGCGGAAAAAAAAGACGAAGGGGGGGGGAAGAGAGAGGCACCATTTATGTTTTGAAGCTGCGAGACCGTGAGGGAGTGTGGGTTGTTGATTTTTCCACGACGCGTCACCGGGAACACATGGTGATCGATGGTGCGGTGGTTGCTCGAGCATATGTTGCAAGAGTGGCAGGATAGATGAACGAACACCGGCACCCGGGAACCAGGAAGCCAGATCAGAGGCGGAATCGCATTGAAACAGGCGTCACCAGGCATCGCCACCGGGATCCCGTGTATCTGGTTGTGATAAAGCTCCTCATAGGGATCGTAGGCCATGTGAAAGTGCAGGAGGTCGGCTAGCCATTTCTGGCCAGCCCTGTTAGACCTTGAGACAAGAATGGAATGAATCGTTGCAAGATTGTAACCCACTGGAACATTGCGGACGACCAAGTGGGTCTCACCGCGATCCTTAGCTTCCGTGTAGTCCGGCTCAGGGTCGACGAATTCCTTGAGTTCCACCGAGTGGCCGTTCGGGGGAGTGAAGGTGATTGGGAGGGAGGCACGGAAAGCTGCCGCGTCTGCCGCAGTAGGCCACTGCAGGTGCTGACGAAGGTACGAGCGGCGGACGGCTTTGAAAGGTTCCCCCGCGATCGGCTGGAACGGCGGAATCGTGTTGTTTGGGAAGGCGGTTCGACAAAGAGACTTCTTGATGCACGTAAGGATGTCCTTGCGGAACTCCGCCAGATTCTCGGGAACGATGAGGGTGGTGAGAGAGTCCAGGTCGCGATTCACCGAGTCCACAGCCTCGCCCACCGTGTCGCACTGGGCAACCAGACGGCGGTAGCGGCGAGCTGTGTTGCTCTGGGACGGGGCGGAGGAGACTTCTCCACCCGTAGCAGGAGGCGGAGAAGGGGAGGAGCGAGGAGGAGTAGGATGTTTGGCCTCTTGGCCGCGGGACCATCGGCCAAACATTCGCTGATCGAGGGGTTCAGCCCGTCTGTGTCCGCCATAACCGCGTCGAACACGGAAGAGTGTTCCATGGTGAGAAAGCGTGAGGGAGGGTCCATAAGATATATCCGTCGAGCACCACGCAAACACAGGTCGGTACCAAGTTGGAGCAGAACAAATTGTGGGTTTGAGAGAAATGTGAGGCCCAAAGCGCATGGTGGCAGTGACCATAGCCATGTTGCTTCGCAAGGTGATGGACCGTCTCACAGGTGAGGGTGTGAGAGGCATCGCGTGCATGAGCACAGAGGTTATCAGTTGGCGTGAGAGTGAGCCAAACTGACTGGTTAACCAGACACGATGGTCCGGGAGGATTGAAACAACACCCATTGTGGTCTCCTCCTTTAGTTGATGAGTTGAACCTGATGTCAGCAGTTAGCCCACGGAGCCTGCATGCAATTCCTCGCCAGCACGCGTAAAAAACGCAGTGACTGCAGAGGTGTTGTACCGGAAAAGCAGGGGTCAAGGACACAGCTAAGCGTGGCGGTGGGTCGGGAACTCCGGAAGCAAAGAGTTGGAATGTGATGAGCCACGGTGGCGCCGAAGGAGATAATACTGCGGATGAGAGTGAGGTTGCGATCCACGTAGGCTAAGGTAGTACAGGCAGAATATGCCAGTTCGGTGTAAAGTTGCCGTAAATGGCCTTAATGCCCTAAACACTAAGGTCTGACTCTGCCCCAGGGTCCAGATTCTCAGGGTTGATTTTTTGTACAGCCCGGAATGATAACGGGCATGGGCGTGGCCTTCCCCTGATTCTTACAGGGGCCTCTTGGAGGGTTTCCCTGATTCCCCGCGGAAGTTTTCGGCCTTAGCCGAAAACTTCCACAGCCCTTCCTACATACACACCCCCCACCCCCCCCCCCCCCCCCACCCTCTCCCTTCCCGTTTTTCCCTTTCCATCCCATCCCATCCTATCCCATTTTGCCGCCAGATCTTCGACGGGGAGAAGCGCCGCAAGCCTGCCACTTAATTATTATTGTTGAGAAAGTAGGTAGGTAGATAGAAGTTCTAAAATAACTCTGCCTTCACTAGTTTTCGTTATATAGAGTTTGCCCTGATTGTTGTAGTGTAGCCCTGAATTTAAGTTTTTGGTTGGGTGCTTTCCCGGACGCTTAAAGGCTCGAAAAGGGACACTTCCCGGAGATTTCAGGGCTGAAATACGGGCACCTCAGACCCCCAAGTGTTGGCTTGGAACCAATCGACAGCCCTGCTCTGGACTGAAGAGATTGGCAATGTGAAGTGGAAGCCTGCACATCATTCTAGGTAGGTCTGATCTGAACTTACTGGCCTTGTTCGACAGGCTAACACCGACGGCTGCGGAATCATCGCGGTTGTTTCGTTTTTTACATTTTTCCTCAGGGTCAGTTCGTGAAATGTGCAACTGGGGCTTTAACACTTGTTAACCGATTGGCAGAGTGTTAGCCTGTCGAACGCAACCGATACTTGACCCCTTCGCCCTCACAGAAAGAACCAGGTGCCTTCCCGCACGGGCAAAGGTCTAGCCTTCGCCTAGCCTAACCCTCGCCCCCCAAAAGTGGGGTTTTGCAAAGGGCTCGTCAGGTGTTTGCAGTGGGAGGAACAACCACTCCGTGGACCCTAAATAGGTCCTTGTGAACCAGTTTGGTACGAAAAATTCCTTGCGATTTAACTATAAGGGACTTAACTGCCGTCCTATGTAGGCGACGGTTTGGTTGCCTGCGAACCTCTAGCTCGAGCGGGTCGAAGTCCGTAGTGGAGCTAGCTCGAAACCCTAGGGTGGATTGGTTACAGCCAAGTGAGTTGTGTCTGGGCCAAACTTTCTTGTGAGGGTCGCGGTTTGTGGGGAAGGGCTATTTTTTTTTTCCTGCGTTGTTACCCAAACACGTTTGGCGTGGTCCCCAAACTTTTCTACTGTGCCCGCGAGGAGCCAGGTTGAAGGAGGCAGGCAGCTTCGCCTTGTAGGACCTGCTCCTTCCGAATGGTATATCTCAGCGGACAAGCGAGTCCGCCCGGGGGAGCTCGCTGCCCGCGGGAAAAAAAAAAACCCATTCGGGCATGCATCCGGTCAGGGAGGCATCAACCCTGAACACGGGGAGGCATGGATTTAGGGTTGATGCCTCCCTCGGATGGCATGCCATCCGATGGGGTTTTAGTTTTTTTCTGCCCGGGGCAGCATGTCGTCAAGTCGTCAATGGGTCGTCAGGCTTGACGACCCATTTCCGCTGGGATATTCCGACCGCTAAGACCGAAGCTTCATCCCCCAGTTTTGCCCATGAAGGTGCGGTGAACCCTCCTCTTAACACTAGCCTAACACTCGCCTTTTGCAGAGTGTTAGCCTGTCGAACAGGGCCACTGAGTGGCACTGTTGTGTTGGGTTGGAGGGGTCGAGCGAGTTTTCGCACAGCAATGCAACAACAGGACAAATTCTCGAAGCTGCGAGTGGCGACATCAAAATGGGGAGACTGGCGAGAGCAAATCCGAGTTACTCGGATAAAGTCGCAGCGTTCAAAGCATTGCCTTGCATTGCTTTCTCACAACACGTGGCAACTAATGGCTGTCCGATGTGGATTAGGGCAGTCCAGCTGTTTGAAGAGTACTTTTATGTTTCTCGAGGACCTGTCAGGTTCAGTGAAGTGGGGAGCTTTGCGAATTCGATAACAGGCCCAAATTGTCTTAGTTTTTCGTGCACCCAACAAGGCAACCCAGAAACAGCTTTGTTGACGAAATGAGATGTGCCTCACGACTATTACAGATTGGGCAGTAAGGGCGCGTGTCCTTTCGTGTAGACGTTCGGATTTTTGGTCGACCTTTTGGTGGTAACCTTATTCGCAAACGTCGCCAATGCATTCGCCGCATGCCCGTGTGTCCTACCCCTATCTGAGTTACCTTGGTACGAGACTGAGCCTAGGTCGACCTTTCACGTAAAACAATTTGAGCACGGAAACCCGCTCGTGAGTCCTTCTGACCATGCACGTGCATTTTGCGAAATCAGCGACATTCGGATAACGCATCGCGCGCACGTTCGTGTCGTGAACGTAGGTTCCTACGTCGCAAACACACACGTGGCACCATTACGTGGCGCACTGTCAAGATGCATCAACCGGGTAACCTACGGTGGTGGGAAGCGGCTCGAGGGTACCTGTAAAAGTTGAACTTCGATTGTCGAGCTTTCGTGAGCCGTGTGATTCATGTGAAGCGAGGAACAGCGACTCGAATTGCAGTACGGGATAAAGTCGACCCTAGGTCGACCTAGGCTCGAATTGTGAAAGCTCGACTAAATGTATAGGTTTTGCAAAATACAGTAGAAGGACACGCGCCCTAACGAGAGATTCTGAAACGATGATTGAAGTTACACGTGCCTGGCAAAAACAGTGCGCCTTGATTGAAGTTTGCGCATCCAGATCCACACTCATGCTTCGATACCCTCTGTTACGAGTGCAATCGAGTGAACGAACGAGAATTGCACTATCGAAGCAAAAACAGTACAATGAGCGAAGGATTGAGCGAGAACTAAATAGCGAAGACCATTGTGGTAACGGTCGTGGCTGTGGGTGGTGCGCGACGGGCCTATGACTGAGGTCGGGAAAATGTCGAGGCGGAGGTCCGGAGCGCGGGTTACCAGCCGGGCCGTGAAGTTGGGTCGCGATGTGCGAGGTGGCGGGAAGATTGTCGAAGCGAGTGTCGCGAATGGTAACGGTGGTGAGTGTGGCTGGTACAGTAAGGTACGCGCTAAGCAGGGATGCGGCATAAGGAAATGGCGAATTTCCTTACACTACCCCCCTCCCCAAGGAGGCCCTCCTTACGAGAGTGCGTGTACGTCCCGAAAATTACTGCTGCGGAGGTAGTCAGTGAGAACAGGGTGGTTTTCGATTCTGTCCAGGGGAACCCAATTGTCTTCGGTGGGGGTGCGGACTTTCCACCGAATCAGGAACTCGATTTTGCGGGCTCCCCGTGGGTCACGTACTCGATGGCTCAAGATTTTCTCGGGTGTGATGATTGGCTCGGTGGGCGGTCGTGTCATGCTGGCTGGTCGGCGGCGGGGTAGTTGGCTCGTGGATGGTACGTAAGGTCGTAACAGGCTGACGTGGAAGGATGGGCTGACGTACCAGTCGGCGGGAAGAAGTAAATGGGCGGTAACGGGGGTGGTCATGTGGCTGATGCGAAATGGCCCACAATATCGGGGGCGGAGTTTTGGGGTGATGGGCAGGCGGAGGTTCTGTGTATCAAGTAAAACTAGGTCGTCGGGCTGGTAAGTGACGGGGCGGCGGTGGCGGTCGGCGTTGCGTTTAGCGATGATATTTGATTTTTTTTATTACGTCTGCTGCCCTGGTCCGTGCTGCTTGCAAGATTTCCGCAAACTGCTGTGCGCGAGGTACATGATTGTCGGGATTCGGGGTCATGGGTACTGTGGGGTCTTGTCCGTAGTTCAGGTAAAATGGTGACTGTTGAGTCGTGGCTGACGGTGAGTTGTTATACGCGAACTCGATGAGCGGCAACTGTTGCTCCCACGTGTTCGGGTCGTCGCACGTGGCTCGGATGAGTTGTTCCATGGTCTGGTTCGTCCGTTCTGTCTGTCCGTCTGTTTCGGGGTGGTACGAGGAGCTGAACTGTAGCCGGGTGCCGAACTGCTGCCATAGGTTCCGACAGAAGTTGCTGGTAAACTTCGTATCTCGGTCGCTAATGATCGCTGCTGGTATCCCGTGTAGTCGAACGACGGTGCTGATGAACAGTCGAGCAGTTTCTTTGGCAGAGATTGATTTCTTGCATGCTGCAAAATGCGCCATCTTCGTGAGTCGATCGACGACGACCAGGATCGCGTCGTTCCCACTTGCCCCAGCCGGTAACCCCGTGACGAAGTCCATCGTCACCTGCTGCCAAGCACGCTCTGGGGGTGGTATCGGCTGCAACTGTCCTGCCGGCCGCTGTCGTGATGATTTCATGATTTGGCAGGTGGGACACGATGCTACGTGTCGTTGCACGTCGGTCAA